TTTTTATCCCCACCGAAAAAAGTATATTAAAATGGGGCTATATAACACTATTCTCCTCTAATCTATACAAGATGCTTCTTAGCCTTAACTATTTTATCATTAATAACAAGTCATTTACAACAAACCTCACCTGTTTGGGACCCCAGGGTGTCAACCTTGAAGGATGTTTAGCAAGAGTAACGGTCCAGAGTGGGTTGGAAAGGTAGGGTAAGGGATGCGAGTCAGAGAAACCTGGTCAGTGGCCCAGGTGGGACTGTGGGGGTGGAGAGGAGGGACTGATGCAGTGCAGTAAGTGTTTGCTGAGAGTCTGCCCTTGCAGGGGTGTGGAGCAGGTGTGGAGATACCTGTGTGAAAGGACAGCATTGTTTCCATGGATGGCATGTTCAGGTTCTACACAGGTGGATGTTGGTGGGGGCTGCCTGCTCACATCATCCTGTGTCCTGTAGAGCCAGTTAGTTCTTATTGCTGAGCAGGTCTGCCTAGCACCTAATCTTCTGTCCAGCCTGGACCGCCTCTTGGAGCTCAAAACTCATGTTTGGCCTGGAAACTGCACTTCGCTTCTATCCTCGGGGTGGACCTGGTGCTTCAGGCTTTCTAAAAGGAAACTTTCAGCTCCAAACTTTTGAGAAGACCAGCTGGGGAGGCTGCATCAACCACTGGGAAGATGCAGTGGCTTTGCAGAGAAAGGAGATAGGGTGGTGTCTGGGCTGCCATGACTTAGGATCTCACATTAACAGGGCATTTCATTGGGGACAGGGCTCTACCTACAGATAAGGAGCACTGTGAAGACCATTAAGAGTTTCTCCAATGTCATAAGACCACTATCAAATGTCATGATCACTGATTTTGAAAGAAATTTTAAATCAAGTGACAATTGGATGAAGAATGGTGCTCATGAGAAGGATCCTATGACCTTATGAGAAATGTATCTCATAACATCACTGTTAAACACTGTGTATGGAAACTTTCCCCTGGGAACTCCTGGTGTGACTGCCTGTCTGCTACAGGTGTCCCTGTTAGAGTGTCGTGTCCATGAAAAACAGTTTCGGGGCCTCTCTTTGACAGTGGCACAGCTCAGTTGTCTTCTGTCAAGGCCATCTCTGGAGTTAATCTGGGCATGCTCAGGACCACTGTATGGGCCAGGGATCTGCTGCTTCAAGGCCAAAGCCAGCCATAAATGTGGTCAGGACTTGGTCCTTTTCCTCTTTGACTCCACAGAGCCCAGCTTCAGCTGTAGCCTCTGTGTCTAGGGCTTCCCAAATCCATATGGCCACCTCAACGTCTCTGTCAAGTGCCTTTCCCTAAATGGCCCCTGAGCATCATAGACTTGGTATATTCTCTGTCCTGAAGCAGGGCCACCCAATAAGGCTCTGGGGGAAGTGGCTGAGGAAGGTACAAAGGGGCTTTAACAATGGGCATATGATCTATAGGAAGCTTTCAGCTCTAGAAGGCCCAATGGGCCTGGCCTCACTGTGTTTTGGCCAGGTACTGCTAAAGAGACCCCAAAATCCCACAGCATGTGCACTATGTATGAGCTCTTGTACCCTCACTGTTTGCCAATGTTGGGGCTGGCCTAAGAGATTTGGCCACTTCTCAGAGGGAGTCAACAGTGTATATTTTCCCCCCAATCCCAACGTTTAGACCATAGAGAAGAGTCTGGATCAAATCCATCTTCTGGAACTGTGTAGTTAGTGAATGTTGTTCTCTTGAGTGGAAAAAGCTGAGATGATGCATATTTACTGGGCCAGGCACAAAGTGGACAGTTTACTCAGTCCTTTCTCTTAATGCACTGATCAGCTCTGTGTGAAGCAGTTATAATTCCCATTATAGAATAACCTGAGAGGTTAATATATATTACCTAAGGTAATAAAAATAATTTGTTTCATAAGTGGTACAGCCAAGATTTAAACTCAAGTCTGTCTGACCTTGCTAGGATCTGAATGTTTATGAGCTCCTAAACTTTGTATGTCTAAATCCTAACCCCCAAGGCAATGGATGGAATTTTAAGGTGATTATGTCATGAGAGTAGAAGCCTTACGAATGGGATTAGTTCCTTTGTATAAGAGATCTAAGAGAGCTAGCTAGTCCTTTCCACTCTGTGAGGCACAGCCAGAGAGTACCATCTATGAATCAGAACACGGGCCCTCATAATACACTGAATCTTATAGAGCCTGATCTTGGAGTTCCCAACCTTGGGAACTGTGAGAAATAAACTTAAGTTGTTTATGTTACCTACCAGTTTTGTTATAGCTGTTGGAAGGGACTAAGACAAAGCTGGACTTTTTCTGCTGCACCTGGAACATTTATTCTTTAGGGCTAGACAGCCCTCCTCACTGGCAAGAAAGACACCTCAGAAGGGTCAGGGCTGGGTTGAGTTAGGATGTGGGAATTGCTGTCTGAACTACCTCCCCTCCTGTGGCTCTTTTGAGTCATATAGATCTCTACACCTTTCACTTCTTCCTTTGAGTCTGAAGGACTGTTTGGGTCTCTTCTATGGGGAACTAAAAGCTCTGCTTTGTGGAAGAGGTGAAGGAGAATGGAGAAAAAGGCCCAGAAAGTTTTCAGAGGTTTCCATTTACCTGGGCTCCAGCTGACAAACTTCCTGGAACAATACTGCTGGGGCCCCAGAGAAGGGGTTACCTAGTATGGCGTTAAGTCTCCTGTGGGCTTGTTCTCAGTCTGCAGCAGCATGTGTGTGAAAGGGAGACAGACTACTGTATCACTTTTCTTAGGAAAGTCCGTAAGTCATCCTCTGGCTTCAGAGCTCTGGGGGAGGGAAGTGATCTGAGAGACAAGTGTCTTGTGACTGGCCAGCTGAGGTTAGGGGACTAGCCCTTCCTCTTCCTCCCGCCTACTCATATACTAGAGTTGTTGAATTGGGTTGAAGAACAGAGGGTGAGTTCCTCCAATGAAGCTTAACGCTGATCATTTTGTGAGGTGTTAGGATTTCCTCCTCTTAGCATCCTCAAGTCTGGCCTGACTACATGGTCTTTGTCCCTAGGTGTGATTCAGGTGTGAGAACTGACTTACAAAGAACTAGATAAAGAAATATTAAGAACTATCCTTACCTGGATGTCATTTAATGTCTGAGACTGTGAGGCAAACATCTTCATTGGACTGAAAGGGAGGAAACACCTGTGGATCCGAACAAAAACCGACAGCTCTGGAGGGCAGGCTGCCTTCCTCCTCTAGTTTGTCCCAGCTGTCTGCCCAAGGTCAGATGAGTTGCCTGTATGAGTCTCCCTGGTTACCAAAACAAGTACCATAGGCTCAAACAGAAGGAACTTATTTTCTCACAATTTTAGAACCCCGAAGTCCAAGATCAGGGTTTTAGCATGGTTGGTTTCTTCTGAGGCCTTTCTCTTTGGGTTGCAGATGGCCATCTTCTCTCTGTGTCTTCATACGGTTTTTCCTCTGTACCTATCTGTGTCCTAACCTCTTTTAATAACACCAGTTATACTGGATTAGGGCCTGCCCCAGTTTAATTTCTTCTTTAAAGACCCTCCTTCCAACTATGGTCACATTCTGAGGTTAGGAGTTCAGTGTATCAGTTTGAGGGGACACAAGTCAGCCCATAAGAGGCTATTTCCAAAATTCTCAGTTAACAGGCTCAGTGTCATGATGAAGGACAGAGAGACACTCACTGCTGGTTCTGCCAAGCTGGGGACCAGAAGAGAAAGGTAGACCCAGCCTAGCCCCTAGGAGAAACTTGATTTGCTTTGTGAAAAGACTTAACCTAGAAAAGCTTGGAGCTGGCCCTAGCCTCCTGGCAGCCATGGGTTCTGCACAGTGTCTTCATCTGGCTCCCATGTGGCTCTCTGCCCTCCACAGCTGCAACACCTTCTAACACTGACTTTTCCCTCTGACAGAGGCAGAAGTTAGGCTGTTGAAGACAGTGCACACGTGCTGGACTTTAAGGAAATTCTTTGGTTTCCTGATAGTGCTTTTATTGGTTTTTGAGGCAGGGTCTTGAGGTGTTGCCTAGGCTACTCTCAAACTCCTGGATCCAAATGATCAGATCCTCTAGTGTCAACCTCCCAAGTAGCTGGAACTATAGATGTGTATCATTGCACTCAGCTCTGTTTATTTTTTTTCAATCCAAAAGGAAAACCATTGCACTGAATCAAAATTAAATTATTCAACAAATGTTGAAATGAAGATTAAAAATACTGAATAAATTTTGATTAATTCAATTAGCATTTACCTAAAGTCTGCCAAATTCTGGGGCCTGACCTCCTGTGGGTAGCTAGATCGCAGGAGGTAGCTTGCTGCAGACTAAAGTTATGCATGAGCCCTTAAATACTCTAATATAATAGAAAAAACATGCCAATTCAGGCATGTTTTTTCTTGTTGCTTAGCATTCTAAAATAATGGAATGAGGAGAAAGGCCTGGTTTTATCATCTGTCAGGGGAAACTACATCCTTTGCTCTTGTTTGTCCTTTGGGAGTTATTTGCACTCATCACTTGTCTCCTGCTCAAGCCAAGCCCAAGCACAGCCAAGTTCCCCTTTCCTCTGAATATCAGGCTGCAACCAGCAACCCTTGTTTCAAAATGCTGGCCAAGGTCACGTGCCTTCTTCCTTCTCTCTGCTGAGATAAACACTTACTGTCTACCTGTGTCCGGTTCTTTGCTGGGCCCTCAGACACATGGAAAAATAATGTTACTATCATTCTTAGAAATAATATAAACAAGGTCAGCTCCAGGTAAGACAGAAGCAGAGAATGGAGTCATCTAGCCTCTTCAGGGACTGAGGATAGTGATGTCAGGAAAGGCCTTGTGGAGGTAGTGCATATGGATAAGGCTTTAGAATGGGTGGGACTTGCAAGTATGTATCCCAAATAGAGGAAGTGGAGAAAACAGGCAGGAAAGCCTTCCTGATTTGGAGGCTAGGAACTGCTTCAGTGTGACTGGGACTCAGCTGGCTGAGAGGTATAGCTGGAAAGTGGTCCACGTTGGAGAACTTTGGCTGAGCTGCCAAATGAGACTTTTTTCCCTACAGGCAATGGAGAGCCAGCTGTGGAATGTTTGGGAGCCCTGGAGTAATGTACCAACGCTGTGGGACATGCCTTGCCTGAATTCGAGGAGGATGGATTTGGCTAGAGGTGGGAACCAGAGAAGGCAGCTTTTGCAGTTTGAGAGGTGATGATATTCCTAACCATGGCGGGTGAGAGGTTGGCTATTAGAACCTGTTCAGGGAGTCTGAGTGGCACTGTAGAAAGAGTACCAGATGAGTCATCAGGAATTTAGGTTTTAAATCTCAGTTTTGCTGGAAGGAAAGGTGGAATCTTGTATACTGCCTTCCCCACCCTCCGGAAGGCCAGCGCTCTATTGGGTCAGTTTTTCTTTTTAATTTCAAACTATAAAAAAAAACCCCAACAAACACTAAGGTAGGGGGGATAGTATGATAAATCCTCTTACCCATCAGCCAGCTGCAACAATAAATAACACCTTGCTGTAGTTTTTGAGTTGAAGTTTTTGGGAAGTACTCAATTTGAGGTTACATTGGAAACATTTCTCTGAATCTGCCTCTGATCAGGTTGAGGCAGTGAAATGATGCCATGTCCATTTGTTCCTCCCTGGAGGTAAATTGAATGTGTGTGTTGGCTGCTGCAAGGAATAAAATGAAGGTTTCCTTTGTTTTTTGGTTTTGCTTTTTTTTTTAAAGAGTAGTCCAGTCTGGCCTTGAACTCACAGCAGTCCTCCTGCCTCAACATTCTGAGTGTTGAGATGATTACTGGCATGTGCCACCACGCCCAGCTGAGGATTTCTTTTGAAGGGCGTTTTCTGGAATTGAAAAGACACATTGTCAGAAGGGACCTGTTAGTGCATAAGGGTCGATCTGAGGGAGGATAAGTGTGGACAGTGTGGAGTAAGAACTGCTGGGAGGGTGATTTGTAGGGTCAGACATGCTCATTACCCACTCATTGGAATGTGTGTGGGGTTGCCCAGGGCCTCATTCACACCAATCCACCTGACAAGGCTCATCTACAAACCAGACATCAGTGAACTAATTCAGTTTGCAGGCATTGTCCAGTGGCCACAGCACAGATGCCTAGCCTCTCAGTTCACCTGCTTGGCATTGCCCTACATGGGAGAGTGAATTACAGCGTCAGCTGCAGGTTGGTGGGGAGCCAGGCTCCCCAGCAGAGGGCACCATGTGGAATGTAGGCACATCACCCTGGCTGTGGTGGCACTTTCTAGCTTGCCATTGTGCTCTGACCCTCAGAGCTGGTGTGTTGGTCACCAGTGTGCCAGACAGACCAACACTTCCATGGAGCACTGTTGCTTTGTCCTTCACTGAGAGTAGCCTGGCTTGGTTCGGGGTATGGCAATTGTTAATACTACTGGAATGCCCTCTGAGTTTGGCAACAACTGAAAAAAGGGAGCAGGAGTCAGGGAGAACAAGATATCAATTTTATATGGAATATACAGCACGTGGCCCATAGGGTTCCCAGTGCATCTGTTTGCTGAATTAACATTCCCACCTCCAGCAGGGACTTAGATGTGAGTAGTCTTAGCCTGGGGTAGGCCACCTCCCTCATCAGGTGGTTCTAGGGAGAATAGGAAGAATGGGGATGAGCTTTACCTGCTAAATTCTTCCTCTCATTCCTATCAGTTAATGCCCCAGGGGAGGAAGTCCTGGAAAGAGAGGATGTTAGTATCCTCCCATGGCAACATGAATCAAAAGGAAATAAAGGTGCATGTTGTGGGTCTCATTGGAGGTTTATTTAAGCAGGCAGTGGTGAGGGTGCTGTTATAGAGGACACAGAATTATCTGGGTGTTGAAAAGTAAGTTTTGATGGACAGTGATGGGGAAGGGGCCTTTATTTATGTTAGGGGAGACAGCCTGAAAAAGGCACTATGACATGAGAATGCTCTCCCTTGGCTTCAGTCTCAGGGACTCAGAATGTGGTAGGAGGTGTCAGGCTTGGTGAGGAAGTGTTGCATAGTGGTTAGGAGTGTAAGCTTGGGGTCGGACTGCCTGTGTTCGATTTCCATCTCTGCTGCTCTTGGATGTGTGATTTGGCCAAGTTGATTAACCTTTCCAAACATCAATTTCCTTGGATATCACAGTTGTGAATAATGAGATATGGAATACGTAGAAACACCCAGCCTAGTACACAGAGACTGGTTAATAAATGACAGCCACTATTGATACCATCATGAGTCCAGGGCAGTTTGAAATCAGCACTAATTTGGACGCTAACTTATAATTTGGACTGCTCTGGAAAAGGAGGCCCTGCAGTGTCCAGGTTCTGAATACCTGAACTCAGCCTGGGCAGAGCACCTCTGGAGAAAGACCCATGGTGACCTGGATGCTGTTTGGGGTGGCAATGGGGTCACAGCTGAGTGCATGGTTCAGAGAGGAGCTTTGGGCTTTGTCCCAAATGCCAAAAGAGAAGAGTATCTCACTGATGAGACACTGAGGAAATAGACTAGCTGAAGTTGGCAGACTGCTATCTAAGTGATTTCCATTTTTTTCCCATTGTAGTACTGGGGCTTGAACCCAGGACTTCAGCATTGAGCAACATCCCCAGCCTTTTTAAGAAAAAAATCTTTTGAGACAGGGGCTCACTAAGTCTCTTAGTTGCCTAGACTGAGCTCAAACTTGCAGTTCTCCTATATCAGCCCCCATGAGTGCAGGGACTATAAGTGTACACCACCATACCAGGCCACTGTACTCTTTTAACTCACTTAATGTTCAAAGCCACCCTTGCAGGTTAATACTATTCCCATTTTATTGATAAGGAAGCTGAGGCACAGAGGTTACGCACAGTGAGTGTCAGAATCAGAGTTCTTACCCAAGTAGTCTGACTCCAGCTAGTACTTTTAACCCGTGCTGAGCCCCTCCAGGAGATGAGAGTGGGAGCAGGTCAGTGGACAGGACAGCATCAGTGCACGTGGAAACAGTTGGGGTTAGAGGGATGCTGGGTGATCAGTTGGGCTCTGACACCAAGGAGAGGCAGCACATGATGACAGGTGTGGGGTCACGGGGAGAGTTTTAGGATAGCAGAGGCTTCGATATTTGTGTGGGTTGAGCAGAAGGATCAGGAGAGGGAAAGAGATGCAGATTCAGCTTAGGGTGTGTAATGAAGAGGATGGGCCTCGGTGACGATTGATGAGTGGGCCAGAGGGAGGAGGGCAAATCTCCCACAGGATGAAGGGGAGGGCTGAAGAGCAGGGAAGGGGAATTGAGAGTTTCCATTTTTCGTTGAAGAGAGATGCCTGAGAACTTGCTGAGTGGGAATCTGACAGGAAGGAAACATGAAATTAGAGATCGTGGGTGTGACTAAGAGAAGGAAGAAGAGACACGTGACCCTGGTTCCCCAGGCAGAGGTGAGTGGGGGTAAGTGGTGACCAGAGAGGCAGAATGCACCAAGGAGGAGGTACGCTGTGAGCCAGGAGGTGGGTGGAGACAGGGAGAGGTTCATGTGAGGACCCCACGTGCTGACCACAGATGGGCTTCAGGTACTGGGCCAAGAGGCCTATCTAAAATAAGGGGATGGGAAAGGGAAAGTGGAGCTGAAGAAGAGAAGTGTGGTGAGGGTGTAGGTGGAGACTGACATGGGCAACAGAGAGGACAAGCTGCCATAACCTCCTTAGACTTGGGAGGAGGACTCCAGAGAGCCTTGTGAGCTCTGCTGAGATGGGTCCTCCCCTTGGCCCTTTGCATCCTTTTACATTTTTGGTGGGAAGAATAAGTCGTTTCCAGCCACTCCCTTCAATGGTGCAACTGACTGGTGACATGGTCCAAGTTCAAGGGTTGAGAGGAGGTGAAAGTCTCTTCCACAACTGGTCCCATTTTCCCTCTTCCCTGTTTTCTGGCCTCAGAGCTAGTCTTTGTCAAACAGGCCTGATAATTGTAACACGTCCCTCACAAATGAGATAATGAGAAAAAGTCCTTTCCATAGAGGCTGCTGCTTCTCCTAGGAGGCAGGAGCCCTGCTGTGAACTTCAGAGCAGGCTGTGTTTACAGGCAGGTGGAAATCACCCAGGGACAAGTAATTTGCCATCATTTTGATGCATTGTGCACAGAAGTGAGGCTGGGAACCATCAGCTAGCTCTTGGAGTGGATGAGTGAGTTGTGCTTGTACCTTGTGTCCAGGTCCTCCACATCTCAGCCCCCAGGGTACAATCCCATTTACATTTACTTCTCAGACCTACTCTTTGAGGCTTTCAGAAGGAAAGCCCAGCCCCTTCCATCCCAAGTGCTCTAAGTGGCTGCAGTGGCCCTACCCTGAGAGGACACAGATAAACTTATCTGACAGTAGAGAAGGGAGGCATGTGATGCTGGCTCCCCATCTCAGTCTTGCCAAAGGCACATGTTCCAGTCTTTCTTCCCTCTCCCCACCCCAAATCCCTGTCTCTGTTGGCATGCCTGCATTGTCTGTCCTCGGAGATCTGCCCAAACCATCCAAAGGCAGTAGGCCTCGGTAAGGCTATGGCTTTGATCAATATTGTTGTGACCTCTTACCACAGTTACTCCTTGTACTGTGAAAAGAACCTGCTTGAGGGGTGGGGGGACTCAGAATGGTAAGAGCAGAAATAGTAGGTGTGAACAGAGGAAGATGAGGCAGGCATTTGAAAATATGAAGCAAAGATACTGAAGGGAACCTCAGCTTCTCAGTGCTCCTCCAGCCCAGAGGTCAGATGTGCTCTTTGTGTGTGAGCTGTCAGAACCTCACATTCACCCATTTCCTGGGCAGACCCTGTATCCTCCTTGTGGACTGGGCTCAGCTCTAGTGTCTCATGCTCATGGCTTTGGGGTTGTGTTTCCCTTAAGTAGCTTGCCATTTCCTGAAGATGTCACTCCTGCCTGCTCCTGAAACTATGTGGCAGAGAGGCTGGAAGTCTGACTTCCTGGCAGCCAGAGGGAAGGTCTCAGTGTCCCGTGTTATTCTTTGCATTCTTTAGACGATGGCGTTCAAGTTTGTGACTGAGTGCCCTGCTGCTGCTATTTGTTGGAAAGGCTGTTGAGGTCATGGAAGCTTGTTTAATTTAGGGCTGTGGTTTGGTGAGAAGGGCTGCAGTGGTTTGGGTAAGTGCTTAAGTAGCAGCGTCTGGATTGGGCTATGCCAAGGGAGGTTAGTGGTGGAGCAGGGCGTGTGATGAGAGTTGGCTGGCTGTAAAACGGAAAGTCCAGAAAGCAAGATAATGCAAAGGGGAGAGAGAGGCTGATGAAGCAGAGGAGATCACCACTAGCAAGAGTCCAAAGAGCAGGTGCTCTCCAGTCTTGCTCGGAGGCACGGACCACTCTTGCATCTTCCTCCCAAACCTCTCATTTGACTCTGGCACCACTCTTGCTTCTTTTGGCTGCTCTGCAGTCTCCTTGGTTGGATCCTCCTCCCGAAGGCACCATGGTGGAATGTCCGAGAGTTCTAGGCACTCTTCCTTCATCTATATTACTTCTTAAATCATTTCATGAAATTGTTTTAAATACCACCTTTGATGTGGTCAGCTCTCAAACATATTTCTTCAGCACGGATTTCTCTGAACATCAGATTCTGTTTCCAAATGGCTACTCAGTGTATCTTCCCAGGTATCCTTAGGCATTGCAAAGCAGACATTTCAAACCCAGTGTCAGGATTTTAATTCCCACATTTCCCATATTTTTGATGCTGTTCTCCTGGGACTCAGGGCAAAGACCTTGTAGTCATGCTCAGTTTCCTCTCTTATGCCCATGTTGTCTTTTAGTAAATTTTACTGGCTTTGCCATCAACATAGATCAGGAATTAGAACATCTACCACCATTATTCTGACCCAAGCTACATTCATTTCTTTTTTTTTGTTTGTTTTGCACTGTATTAAATTCTTTTATTGGTACATTGTAGGTATACAACACAATTACATTTCTCATTGGGAATTGTACCTTTACATGATGCATCTTGGTTCTTATTTTTCACCCTTGCCCA